AAATTCTGGAGGGAATTCTTCCTACTGTACATGGATTTCAAAACGAATTCTTATGCAAATTTATACAATCAATGTGAAAACTCCTCAACCCAGCCGAAGAAGGCGAACATATATTTCAACATTCTACGCAGAGAAATATCTTAGGTTCCCGCGTGTAAGATACGGATCAAGCCCAATTAAGGTATTACCTCAAGAGCTTTCTCATTGGCAAAAAGGCGATCAGTAGGAGGACAATAAAGACGCGAATTTCGAGTGTATCCCGCGCCCCACCCTTGAACAGATCTAGCCTGAAATATCAAGGAATCCAAATCGATCACGTGATCGATTTGGCACTCACCTGCCATCTCTCTTGGAACTCCTCCTCAGATTCCTTCTCAAATTTCTCGAGATCAAATATAGGCCGTTGACGTTGAATGAATCCTCTGACAAATTACAACGGGCGTATCTTAGGTTACCCCACCAAAGATTCAAAATATGCCCAATTCCGTAACACTTGAATCTCAGGTTACCCCACCAAAGATTCAAAATAGGCCCAAAACCGTCACCTCACCTCAGATACTCCTGCAGAGCCTTCAAATACTCCAAGTAATCCTTCTGTCTGTACCTGCCATAATATAGCGAATTTCGATCTAGCCGACGAAAAAGCGCGCGCCCTACTTCAAATGCCTTGGAATGTGATGGAACTGTTCGAAGGTCTTCAGATACGAAATGTAATCGATTTCGTTATAGTCGTTCTCGTGAGCCAACAAGAATTCTTTTTGGGAGAGAATTTTTTCCTCCGATTTTTTTCCTTTTTCCGCCCGAGCTTCCATTTTTTTCTCGTATTTCTCCCATAAAGTACTCAGAAACTGCTTCCGACGGAACCTGAAAAATATTTTCTAAAAATTTTCAGAAAAAAAATTATTACTCCGAATATTTTCTCAAGTTGATGAACTGATCGTACAGCTCATGCATGTCAACATACCTAGCACAGAAAATATCTTAGGTTCCCGCGAGTAAGATACAAAATAGGTCCACTTACCTCCCCAAAGATTCCTCCCCACTAAACTGATATTCACTTCTTTGATGCGCCAACGCATCCTTATACCACGACTCAACCGTCGCAACCTATATCCCATAATTTTGCTAATTTTCAATTAGTCTAAAATTTTACATACCTTCGGCATGGAATTTTTCTCGCTATTACGAGAGTAATAATCCTGTGCCTGCGGGAAAAACGACATCACCGGGGATCGAACCGGGGACCTCGAGTTACCTCTTTTATTTTCTGGTAAAATGCCGTCCAGATTTCGCCTCCTCGTCCGACCAAAGCTCCCAGCTCTTCCTAAATTCCCACGAAAAGTACTCGAAAAATTTTCCATTTTTTCTAAAATATTTATTATTTTCATTTGCTCAAAAA